AGTTTTCTTTGGCAAATTGACTAGTCAGTAGCTGCAACATTCTTGTGTAGAGTTTCTCCTCAAGATTAACATCATCTCTAGGTCACCATTCTTCTGGTTAGAAAATTGCATTCACTGAAAAGAGAAGTAATTACCCATTTTTAACCATGCGGTCCTGGCCATTCACACTGATTGTTACTTATGTCTGTTGTGGTCTGCCCCCCACCCCCAGCCTTTGCTCTTCCAAATTAAGTATTAGTAGGACCCTTTACAACTTGTTCACCTTTTCCTGCAAATCTACGCTTGTAAATAGGGGAGATAATGTCTTGAGCTTAGTGTTCTCTTCCAGTTTTGGTCCACCTTCCTGGGAGTTTGTGAAATGGGATTTTGACCATTTTCTAGTTTCAGGATAGATAGTTTTCATTTCTCATTTTTGTCCCTTATAATCTTTTAAGTGGATTTCAGGAAAAGGAGTTTTGGAAGTTTGAATATTGTATAAATAAAGAAATTACAAATAATAAACCTTAACTTTTTGTTCACTAATGTTTATTACCCTATAAATTAGATTTCATATACATACAGGAAATATATGTATATAACCAAAGAAACCAAACCCATTGCCATCGAATCCATTCTGACTCATAGTTATCCTGTAGGACTGAGGAGAACTGCCCCGTAGGATTTCCAAGGCTGTAATCTTTACAGAAGCAGACTGCCACATCTTTCGTCTGAGGCGAAGCTGGTGGGTTCAAACAGCCGACCTTTTTGTTAGCAGCCAAGCTCTTTAACCACCATGCCACAGGGCTCCTTATGTGTACGTACAATACGTATATCATTCTAGGTATTCTATCTTATTAAGGGTAAAATTTCATACATAGAATTGCTTTAATTTCTTATATTCAATTAGCAGTGAGCAAAAATCTATAATAAAACATATTTGAAAAGATACCCCCATACAAGGTTGTTGATTTCTTGAAGTTGTTTCTACTTTTATTTATATCCTATGATTTACTGAAAATATGCAGCCTTGGTAATACTATCCTTATGAATTTCCTCCCCCAAGGAGTAGTTTAATATTATGAATGTGCTGTTGTCCCGCAGCCCTCACAAATCTCTAATATTACTAAAACCAATCAAGCAGCCTGGAACCATCAGAAACCATCTTTTCTAGGCAGGGAAGTAAGTCAAAATAACATTGAAATGAAGGGAAATTTTTTTTGGTGCATCAATTTTTTCTGTGGTTCTCACAGCTCTCTTTCCTTTCCCTATATTGAGGTCTCCTACTTGTGTATGGTAGTGAAAACAGTTGACACTTGATATTTGGGATTCATCTTCTTGAATCCCCAAATTCTTGCAAATAGAAATGTTATCACATTTTTTGTTGCAAGTCATTTGTTTCTTGTATATAATCTCAGACCAAAAATGGCTTTCATGGAGATTTTCAATTACTTGGTCATTTTTTTAATATATCAAAACCTCTGAATGTTCTCTGAAAGAGGATTTTATGAAAGTAAAAGTATGAATAAAGAAGAACAAAATGAAATAAGAGGCAAATAGTGGGTTAGCCTACCTCACTCGCCAGCTGACTGGTAGCTTCTCACATCTGTCTCAAGAGTGTATGCTTTGATTCTGAGTCCCAGCAGTATCTCAAATTATTCCACGGCGTATATCTTTGGGGTTGCTGGTCAAACCTGCAAATGTTAAGTTACCAAATGTTAAGGGTCCACACAGCTTTCATTGTTGGTTCTGTGGCTGATAATACTAAAGGAATGTGTTTTTGTCAGGTTCTTTTATCTCTCCAGGATAAGCAAGATGCTTCATGATATTTTACCAGCCAAAGTCTTAAATTACAAAGCTTGTGGTAAAGTTCCCTACTGTCAAATTTTAACACTTGGCTCAGAATTCCCATTGCAAATTTTCTCTTGGTTTTCCAATTAAAATGGGCTTTTGTGAGTCCCCTGCTGATAGCCATTGGCTTGATAAAAAGTGACTTTATTTGCAGTAAGGGTGTTTAGGGAGCCCAGTGCAAGGCTGACTCTTCTGCTGTTGCCTTGAGCCCAGCTGTGCTGAAATGTTAAACTTTAGTAAATTAGGTGAAATTGCAGCTTCCTGGCTGGTACAATAATGCCCTGTTCCTTTTCTGCAAATCATCTTCAGGATGAGTTGTCTGCACAATTCTGCTCCAGGAAAAATAAAATTCAGAATATTTCCCAAATGCAGGCTACTTTTCCATTTTACAAATAATTGTACCATATCCTCCTTATCTAACCGAACGCTTAAACTTTCAAATATGTAGAATTGGATTACTTTATTCTTTTAGCCCTACCTGAATATAAAAACCCATTGCCGTCCAGTCAATTCCAACTCATAGCCACCTCGACAGGACAGAGTAGTACTATCCCATAGGGTTTCTAAGGCTGTAATCTTTACAGACTGCCACATCTTTCTCCTGTGGTACGACTAGTGGGTTCAAATCGCAGATCTTGTGGTTAGCAGCTAAGCACTTAACCACTGCGCAACCCGGTCTTCATCTGAATACAGCTGCTTATCCGAGCATGGGATAATAAAGTAATGCTATATACTATCTAGAACCTGAATATAGCATTACTTTATCATACCATACTCAGATAAGCATCTGGATCCGTAAAAATGTTGGTCTTATATAAAAGTAGCTTTTTTCTTTCTTAAACAGCAATCGTGGGCTATGGAAGGAAATAATATTTTCAGTCACACTTATTTTCAATATTTTGAGTCTCGTTCTTAGATGTTTTATTCATTGACCAAATATTCATTCATCAACTACTATGTGCAAAGTTCTGGTTTGTTTTCGTCCAAATATTTTAGTTAGAATAACGTAGAATTAGCCAAAAAACCAAACAGCCTTGTATTTCATTCTTTTATTCTTGATAACATGTAACTAACCCACTGGGGACAAGTCTACAAGTCTATAAGTGCCAAAACCAAAAAAATTAATTGCCGTAGAGTCAACTCCAACTCACGGCGACCCCATGTGTGTCAGAGTAGAGCTGTGCTCCATAGAGCTTTCAGTGGCTGATTTTCTGGAAGTAGATCACCAAGCTTTTCTTTCCAGGCGCCTCTGTGTGAACGCCAGCCTCCAACCTTTTAGTTAGCAGCTGAGCTGGTTAACCGTTTGTACCATCCAGGGACAGTATACTGTGTGCTTTATTGAGGTATGTGGCCTACTAGCTCCCCAAATGACTTACGCTGGCTTCTTTCAAGTTAAGACCTTATGCTTCTAGGAGACTCCATTTAAAATAAAAGTATTTTTGTTATTTGGGAAAGTTGACTCATTAAAGCCTTTTTGAAGTCTAAGCCTTTTCAAAGTACTTTAGGTATTTCCAGGATGGTGCCCGGCTGCTAATCATAAAGATTGGCAGTTCAAATCCACCAGCTACTCCTTGGAAACCTTATGGGGCAGTTCTGTTCTGTCCTATAGGGTCACTATGAGTCGGAACTAACTCGATGGCACCTAACAACACCAAAACAACAATAAAACAGCAGAGTCCAAGTGTTGCTTTTGGCAAAATTTCAAACGCACAAAGTAGAGTGAGCTGTGTAATAAACTCCCACATACCCATTATAGGGTTTGTGTTTTATTGGCATTCTGCAAGGGTCCAGAGTCAAAGACCTGGACGGTGAGGTTATCAAGGCTGCACAGTGGGGGGCTTGGGCAGCCTGTGGGCCATGTATGGACTGGGTAGCTCAGCACTGAAAGAGGAGAGGCCCACTCCCAGGTAACTGGGGAACCAGACTATCTCACATTGTCATGGGACCACTTTTCTGCCGTAATGACATACTAACCAATGATACAGACCAGCGGTGTAGTGGAGTCCAATTCATGGTGACCTTATGTGTTTCAGAGTGGAACTGTACTCCTTTGGGTTTTCAAAGCAGATCACCGGGCCTTTATTCCTAGGGCGCCTCTGGGTAGTGCAACCCAGGGACTCCCTGTAAAGGTCCAGATAGTAAATATTCTAGGCTTTGTGGGCCTAAAGTTCCTATCGCTGCTACTCAACTCTGCCCTCGTAGCCGGAAGAGCAACCATGGATAATACAAAGGAATAGACATGGATGTGTTCCAATTACACTATTTACAAAAATAGGCATATTTAGGCTGGATTTGGCCTGCGGGCTGTAGTCTACCTAAAGATTTTCTCACTCCTGGAAGTCAATTTGCTGTCCCTTTAAATTTTAGTTTAATTAAGCACGGAGAGGTTTTTGCTTCCATTTGGTACCATGATCCAGTCAACCAACTAAAAAGTCCCTAGCGGACCCATGCGTGGGACGATCCAGCAGAGTGATCCCACAGTTTTAAAAGTTTCTGACGTGAGTCCTTTCTTCTCTCCTTTTCCACTCCTCCAAGTCCTTGGTCTCAACCACTGGGACGCAGAGCTGTGTTATGTTTTGGTCTGATGCGTGGGCTTCAGAGAGGAGCACGCGTGCACTCAGCAGAAGGTGAGGGCGCGGAAAAGTTGGAGACCAATCAGCACGGAGTTGGGCTCCCGCGCCCCAACCTTCAGGTGACCCCGCGCGGCGGCAGCGGCGGCAGCAGCAGCGGCGGCGACCAGAGCCCGCAGCAGCTCGAAGCGCCTCCGGGAGGAGAGGCAGCGAGCTCGGCGAATCGTCATCTGCAATCCGAGCGCCGACACAGGCAGTCCAGGACTGTGTGGGAGAAGACAGAGCGAGGAAGCGGCGTCTCCTCTTTCCCCTAAAGACTGTGCGAGCTAGGGAGGGGCGCCCCGAGTGTGCGGGCCCTCGCCGGGCGCTGTCGTCGCCCCTCCCCGCCGCCTTTGAACACTGGGGGTGTGCGTGGCTGTGGACGCGGTGGCGGCGGC